CCTAACCCTAACCCTAACCCTAACCCTAACCCTAACCCTAACCCTAACCCTAACCCTAACCCTAACCCTAACCCTAACCCTAACCCTAACCCTAAAAACCCTAAACCCAATATCATTGCCTTATCTTACTTCATTCACCATACCAACCCACGTGACCTTACCACAGGGTAAGGAGAGAGTCGTGACAAGGCGTAGCCGAAGCAGTATGGGGTTCAACCCCTGACAGAAATAAGTCGTAATTATTAGAGAATTAAAATAGCTCATCGAAAAGATTGTCACGGGTTGGATGCAATGAGTCAAAGCAAGAACCTGATTGTATTACAAGAAGAATTAACTAAAGAGAGAAGAGTTCTATCTTGTACGAGGAGCTCTTTTAAAAGGGGCTCTCGCTGGTTCGTAGAATGGCCCGCGCGCTTTAGCGTCGCGTCGTCATGTGCAGGCCCGCGTAGTCACGTGTAGGCTGCACTACGTAGTAGTGCAGCCAGATATCGGGTTCAACCCGTCACAAAGATAATTTAATAGTTTGTAATACGAAATTATTTCGATTATTAGCCGTTTTAACGGGAGCTCACTTGTAATTATACTGGGAAGAAGGGAGGAGAGATTACTAATTTGCTCTTTTAACCCTGGATGATATAAGTTAATGTAATCGACGATATCTTAATTTTGATTCTTTTTGAGTGCAAGTGTAAAAAGACTAATAATTAGCGGACGAGAGTGACGAAATCCATCCAGACTAGGGAAACAAGAACCTACCTCGTTTCTGTCACCTCTTTAGGAAGTATGGCGAGGACACTAAGGCCGTAGCACTCAGACATCTTCCATAGTGGCTTCCCTAACCGTATGAAATACTCGAATCTCTTCTCTGCTTTCTCACGCACTTCTTCCCCACTCACTTGCCGACCTTTCTGATCCCTCACCTTCTTGCCTTTCTTCCTCTTCCGAGCCTTCTTCCCCTTGTAATTAATCGTGTGGGGGAAGAGGAGGTCAACATATGTCTCTTTTACAGTTGGTTGTCGCCGCTTCTTAGACGTAGTTTTCTTGGCTTCAATTGGCCACTTCTTGGACGTGGCTTTCTTGGCTTCAATGTCCTCCATATACTTGGCTATTAGTTCCACCAAGTGTATCCTCCTTGAGACTTGGAGCACTATTTTTGGGATATCGAGAGACTTTTCTTTTGCCCACCCATCCTCAAGTATGAACTTGACCTGCTTCAGCCGTCGATCCCCGGTTGGGATCTTGTCCGGTCCTCCACTCCGTTCCAAGGCATCCTGATCTGGCCTAATATCAACGGAAGTAACCGGGTGGCGTACCAGATAGCAGAAATGCTGACAATCTTCGAGTACTTCTCTACTCTTAATCCGTTGCAATTGTGTTCGCCAGTGTGTAGGCAACTCTGCGATCCGATCCGCTTCACGAATCTTCTCACATCTACGGCGAGCACACTTGCCTCGCCACAAGTTCTGGACAATCACGACCCTGCGCTTATACTCGCTCCTCAAGTGCCACAACCTTTGAATCAATACTGCAGCCTTTCCAAAGCGGGTATCCAAGATCGCCCTTCTTTGTAAGAAGCGCTTTGCCGCAGCTTGTATAAGGATTATGTGGTTGCGAATAGCATTAAAGCTCTTCCGCTGCTTTTGACCGCGCCATACTCTTTGTATTGCGTAGCAGCTGGTATCTCGCGAGTCTCTTGCGCATACTTCCAAGCAAGATGTCTCCGAGTGACGGACTGGATAACGAGGATCGCATTCCGTGCCTCTAAGTACTTGCGGCGATAGTACTTGGCTTTCAGATTCTTCTGGATCATAGTTGCGTGATAATTGAGGCGTGTGGTTCTAAGATTTTCCAAGAATGCCAACATATCAGCACAGGAGAAGATCTCTGTAAGTCCAAGTTGATACTTATCTAAGCCCTCGCCTCTGCAGGCCCCAAACACCCTCGTAAGGATCTTGTTTGCCATATCCCGGACGTCTGACGTCCGTGACGACGAAGGAACAAGCATGTAGTATCTCAGGGCAAACTCTTCGTACGTCAATACATCAGCATGGGTTCTACGAGCAATCAGACGCCGCCTCCTCCCTCCCCTTTTCCCGCCCCAAGTCAGCATTACAGACCTTCATTGGACTTATGAGGGGCTACACGCCTACGCCGCTTGCGCCACCAACGGAGACCGATGCCCACCTCCATCGCTCTCTCCCCCGCACTGAAAGACCTTGACGGTTAATTAATAAAGTTCCTTGCCAAATCTGCGCCCCTTCAAAAAACAAGGGACTGAATTGTCGTCGGACACAGTACTCGCATGGTGTTACGCCTTGAGATGGAAACAGACTTGATAGTTTCACAGTACATACAGAGAAAGTGAAATTTTAATCTGTAGGAAGAAGAGGTCTTGAAGCAATCTTGCGGTTAGGGGCTGCACTCTGTGGCCTGCAGCTGAGGGAAAATCGAAGTAATTTGTAAGCACACAAATATGGTGTCTGACAACATTGATAATTTTCACACAGTTCATGAGAGAGAGGGCGATGGTTCAAGATGGAATTTTGTAAAAGCTCGAGAAAAGCAACTCCATTTGCCGCCCTAGCAAACACTTCATAATGATCAGAATCAGGTATCTTCAGAACCTGGAATAACACCGCAAAATGAGTCTAGCAAGTGCACCACCATGTCCGTGGTGACCCTCGTGAAAGTGACCGAGACACGTAGAACCTGAGATCTGCTGCCCATTATTTGGTCGATACTCCTTCAGACCTCTCCAGCACCAGATTCGTCCCAGTGAACCTCCAAGATTCCCAACAAAGAATCCTTGGGTACATAGACCTTATGAAGGACAAATCGCTTATCTGCAGCAGCAAGTAGGGCCTTCCATTCGTCCAAGTATCGTTCACGACCGTTGGAGAAGCATTCTAGAGCCAAATCGACAGCCCTGTGAAGTTTCCGTCAGTAGGTTTTCTTTTTTTCGTAACTCGCATCAACACCTGGCAACATACCTAGCAACTCGCTCTCTACACAATGGGATGGCGCCTGGCTCTGGCATGACTACATCTTGAAGGAGGATCTTTACACCAGGTCGAAGGACCGGAATTTGTGCCTTCAAGACTTCGACGGCGTATTTGTCGCCCAAACCGCGGAAGACCATGCGGAAGAAATAGACAGGTGCCTCAACGGTCTGCGGTTCGAAGAGAGTATGTGGCATAAACTCAACGCATCCTTTCAACTCCTCGGGGACTCCTGATTCAGCGCCTTGAATCATGCCTGCTCCATCTTGGACAAGTAGCTTGATATTACCAAAGTTCTTGGCTAGCTCGATGGCGGCTTGACCTCGAGATCCACCAACATTGACGATGCGTGCGTCTCCCAGGGAAGTCCAATCATAAACCGTAGAAACTTTTTCGATAGCGTAACCCGGAACATGGTTGATAGCTTGCATTCCAGTTCCAAAGCGCATCGCTCGCTCAGGGTCGGTAGTGACAACCTCTTGGACCGTCTTGCCGTTATTGGCAAGAACGAAACCCTGTACAGATCAGCACAGGCTGTACTTTGATCATCAAGACCTGGAAAGGTTTGAAAACAAAATGTACAACACGGGAAACATTTACAGTCTCGTTGGGTTCTTGAGAATTTGGCCACTTCTGAATCGCGTCTACAACCTACGGCGAAACATGTGTGTCAGCTATGCGTGCTTCTGATGTAAAAGATTCTTGAAAACTTACCCTAGTAGTCGCAGGCCAAGTATCCTTGCTTTCAAAGTTAACCCAGCCATTAATATACGGAATCGTCAAGAACTTGGAGATACTGGTATGTGCCACCATTTCAGGCTCCACTTCTCTCAGGATATGCATGGCCATAGCGTGTCTAAGAAAGCGTCTAACAACACCCTTCTGAAGGCCAGTCTTTTCAGCAATCTCCTCGAAAGATATTTGACCACCAGGGGGGATCATATCAGGGATCTTGTAGCGGCAGATCGCGTCGATGCTGACCAGATTGGAGATCTGGAAATATCAGTTCACGAGAAATCTTAGCGGAATTTGAGGAATACCTACAGAAGCAAACTTGAAGAGCAGTGCGAGGGGATCCAGGAGCATCTCGTGGAGATTAGCAGTTGCATCGAGGATGGTATCCTTAAGATGGGAGACATTAGGGGGGAAGTTTTCAGGACTGTCCTCAGCAAAGGAAGGGCTTGGCGCGCCTTGGGCTGAGAGCTGCTCTTGGAGTTGAGCGACGGCAGTGCTGATCTGAGCAGCTAGCTCGACGATATTGGCAGTGGTGTTTGGTGATGCCATTGTCGATGTGATAGAGAAGAGAGGCTCGAGTAGTGGTCAAGAGTAGATGGCGGGGTCAAAAGATATAGAACTTGTGATAATCAATCCACTTAAAAGTGCCTGATACCTACCAGGTTAATGCAGCTGACGTGAGTCAAGCTGCCTAGTACGGTGCGGGGGAGATACTCGGCGTTCCAGTGTGCTGAATGTAATAATTCACTGATCGCAATGCTGCAGAAGGGATTTCAAGAGCTTCCTCTGGAGTCTTTGGATTTTTTTCTGGCAGCTTCAAGATGAAAGGTGTGGAGGTGATCTCTCACGAGTTTTGGCGGCGCAGCAAACAGAGGGAGGGTGCGCCCTGAAAGGCCCGTGCAAGGTTGGATATTGGATATTAGCTGCAGTACCACCACCGTTCCCTCAATCACGAACATGCACCAGCTGCAGAGCCCTCAATGAACCGGCTGTTGCTGTTGCTGTTGGTTTGCCCGACTGAAAGAGTAAGCCAATTTCACATGTCCAACAAGCAAGGACTGACCAGGCAACCAGGAGTCTCAGGATCTGCAAGAATCCATGAGCTTCGCGTGATACATGGCGGGCCCCTAAATGCATGCTTGAAAGCAAAAATGGTCACCGAGTTTGAGGTTGTAGACACAATCTCAGGGTTACAGTAAGCCTGGGCTGAGATGCACATCGTCAATGCAAGGTCAACGTCCCCAGTGTTCCATTATAGCAATCATGACCAAGTCGAAGTTACATTGTACAGTCGATGCGGATGACGCCCGTTTCTCAGAGAGGCGTTCTCCCTCCTTCTGCCCCACCAGAGCCTCATCAGCCCGCTCCAGCTTCTCAGTTTCCGACTTTGAACATTCCGTCCTGTTGATCTTACGGTTGAACATACCTTGCATCACCGTTCCCATCTTGAGCTGTCTTTCTTGAGCTGTCCTTCTCGAGCAATCCATCCTGAGCATTCCATCCTGAGCTGCCTTTCTCGAACTCGAGATGAGATCCAACACTATTCAGTACGAAGCACTGGCAGAGCAGATTGAATCCCTTCTGCGAGATCCAGAAAGTACCATCGCACAGATCAAAGATGAAGTCACTCGTCGTCGATTGATCGAGGCCGGACGCAAGCTCTCTGTTTCCTTGGAACGGCCCAGAGAGACATTACGCAGAATTGGTTATGCAGTAGGTAGAACCTTTAATTCGTAATTACATAGCTAACGACAGCCATCACCAGCATCACCAGCATCTCCAACTACCTCTCTCTCTCGTTGGTGTAGAAACCAAGCTGTTCTCCGCATCGGCATCCGAGCCTCGCCCTTTCAGCATCGCAGAACTCACAGAGAGGGCCGGTGTAGACAAAAACCTGCTGAGTACTTACTTACTTTCTCATTCCTTCACCTTCTCGAGATATTAACCGTTCCCAGAAAGACTACTACGGTACTACCAAGCAACAGACATCCTAGCTCAAAACGACGACGACACCTACCAATCCACCAACGTAACTCGAGCTCTAAGCAACGACGACCACGCGAACTCCCTTCGCTGGACGTAAGGAAACCCAACCAATCAATCATCTCCGTTCTCACATTAACACGATCACAGACATAAAATCACCGCCCAAGGAGCATTGAACCTTCCCTCCTGGCTGCAAACCCACCAATACAGCGATCCAGTCGGCATCCTACCCACGGCATGGAGCAGCGTCGTTCCCACAGATAAACATCCCTACGAATGGTTAGCAGACAATCCATGGGCATTGAAGCTTGCGCAAGCACACATGAGGGTTCAACGCGAAGGAAGACCATTGTTTTTCGATGCTTTGGATTTCCAACAGCGCTTCGCTCAGAACACGACTAGCGAGACGCTGCTGTTCGTTGATGTGGGTGGCTCTACAGGACCCCAGTCTCGTGTCCTGCGTCAGCGATTCCCGGATCTCCCTGGCCGAGTGCTTCTCCAAGACCGACCGGAGGTCATTGAGCAGGCGAAAGCTGATCTCGCGGCTGCCCGCATCGAGGCAGAGGTATATGATATCTTCACGCCGCAGCCTATCAAAGGTATGTCTTGCCCTATCTCTGAAACTGCTATCGAAGAGAAGAAATCTCGGCTAACATTTTCTTTTTTCTTTCTTTTTTGTCGTAAAGGAGCAAGAACTTACTACACGCGCAACATCTTTCATGCCTGGGGAGACGCTACATGCGTGGAGATCTTAATCAATGCTAAAGCAGGCCTGACGGACCAGTCAGTGCTCCTGATTGATGAAATCGTGCTTCCTGAGCGAGATACTACGGCGCAAGGGGCGCAACATGATATTGAAGTTATGATTTGCGTTGGTATGTATATCTAGGATTCATTCGCTCCACCTGGCTACATAGAGATACTGACTGAGAGTTTTGCAGGAGGAATAGAACGCACAAAAGCTCAGTGGGAGAATCTGCTGAATAGCGCTGGATTGAAAATGCAGGAAGTGGTAAATTATGACACGGATTTTGAAGATTCTGTTATCATTGCTGGTCTCGGTCTCAATTGAACATCTCATCCTTTCTATTTTGTCGCCGTTTGATTTGTTGCCAGGGGCTATTGAGATGGAGATCTACGGCTTTGGATATTTGAGAGCGAAGATATTTTTTGCTATCATTGTTGGTTGAGATTTTGTTCAAATGAATATTTGATAGAGGAGGGGGCTCTACGATGTATGATGTGCACAATTTCAAATGCAGATAGTGGTAAGTAGTTTAATGTGCATTGGAAAACCTCTCTAGTCAGTCCGTAATTAGGGATTCTATGGGAGAAATAATTCATGTAAAGCGACCCTGTGGGAAAACTCTGTGAAACAGTTCAAGTCACAAGTCAGAAGAGTAAACTGGGGAAGAGCACCCACTGTATGTGGGGGCGGATGATGTAGCTACCGTGTGGAATGAGTCTGCATTTCCTGAAGAAATCTAGTTGGCCTAACAGTGCAGAGAAACCTATGCTGAGAACACCTTGATTGAACTTATAGTAAATGGGCGAATTAGCCGCCGTTGGCAGCATATTATTATCTATCTACCTTCTGCAAAGCAAAGTGTGCAGTCTGCCTGCAACAGCTATAAGCTACATATAAAGTCCAGGCCTGTCTGCAAGTATCATGGAAAGCTAGGGGAAAAGCCAACATCGGCACCTCAAACTGCCTTGTCTCCCTCCACTGCTTTCTCGCCTTCCGCTTTCGGCGTATTATCTCCGTCCGTGCCTTCGGCTGTGGGATTTGGGTTCGTATCCACATCAGGACTTGCACTACTAGCTTTCTTCTTCCGCAAATCATTCCATCCCATTCCCCACAAGAAAATCCCACACGTAGCAGCGAACGCTGCCGCTAGGTAGAAAACACGATCGATACTATCAGCATATGCTTTCAATACACCAGGTAAGTCTGCAGGCGAGACGAAAGAACAAAATCCAGTAGCACCAGCATTGACTATATCGGTAGGGTTGACATTAGGTGCATAATGACGGATTTGTGACTTCATGCTTTCGAGGAAGATGATGTTGTAGAAGGTTAGTGCGATGGTGGGACCGAAAGCTTGGCTGAAGACGATAAATGCGATGCTGGAGGCGAGCTCTTTGCTATCCATTGCCGCTTGCACTGCTATGATGGCCTATCCCATTCAATTGCGTCAGCGTTGTATGTGCAGAAGAAGTTCTGTGTGTGAGGAGACGAACCAATTGTAATCCAGCTCCGAAACCGACGCCACCAAGTATTTGAAAACCGATCCATTGACCGCTTGAGGTACCGGGTTGGAGGAGAGAGTAGAGACCGGTTCCTACGGAATTGAAGACGGTCGAAAAAATAGCAACAGGAATCACGTAGCCGATCTTACTTACTGTCGGCATCGTGTTAGCTCTCATAGTACGTTTTAGATTATTTGATATGTATCTGACTTACCTGCAACACCTGAGAAACCAGCGGTGATGAGCTGGGATATGATCAATGGAAGAAGATATACACCAACTCAGAATCGCACTCGCGCCATTGACAGCTTGGAAATACAGTGGAAGATAGTAGATGCCACCGTAGACCGCCGAGGTGAGGAAAGCCACGTAGATTCCGGAGAACAAGACATTCCCCTTGCGGATCAATGAGCGAGGAATCATGGCATCCTCTCCACGGTGGTTATTCCAGAAGCCCCAGACAACAGCGTTTGCAGCAGCGCCGCAGAGGAGGCCGATGACCGTTGACGAGTTCCAAGCATAGTTCTGGCTTCCAAATTGAAGCGCGAGGAGAAGTTGCAGGACCGCAGGCGCAAAAAGCAGGAAGCCGACAAGGTCAAGGTAGTGATGTAGTCTCGGGAGCAGGGTCCAGGGTTTAGGTTTGATCATCTCTTCAGGGATGGGCAGGAAAATCATGCCAAGCACTGCTGCTGCGCCAACTGGTACGTTCACATAGAAGCCTGGCATAATTAGTCAAATTCGAATAGAAAGGAACAACAGCGAACGTACACCAACGCCAAGTAGTGTAAGATGTGAAAGCTCCCCCGATGAGAGGCCCTAGAACAAGTCCAAGAAGTTTGACTATTCAGTGTGAGCTGCCGTGAGCTGCTGAGTGCAATGAGATACTTACAACCCAAAGAATAACCAAGCAGGCCTGGCCAAAAGCGTCAGTACAATCACTCGATATCATGAATAGGTTCGCTTACGTGGTCGCTGGTCAAGAGGTGCGCAAAGTGAAACCATAGTGATGGATCCGGTGGCGACGCCCGCAGCGCCAAAGCCAGCAACGAATCGACCAACGATGAACATGGGAGAGGAGACAGCAGCGCCGCAGAGAATTGAGCCGATCTCAAATATGAAAAAGAAGGTCAAGAACGTCCACTATCACAATAAGTTCCACGCTCGAAACAAGAGCAGCGCACATTCCACACGAACCTTGGTGTTGAAATACTTGTAAATCTTTCCGGTCAACGGCTGCGGCGCGGAACTGGAGCAAAAGCCATGTTAGACATTTGAGCATATGCGTGTAGATGAGCAAGACGTACCTGCCAAACTGATATGCACTGGCGTACCAACCAACATCAGCAAGGGAGTGGAACTCGTCGGTGATCCGCGGGATGGCCTGGATGTCATGATTAGTTTGCAACAACTTGGACACTTGGAAGCGCGTCTTACCGTGCTCACGATGTTGTTGTCAAGGAGCATAAGGAAGCTGATAAAAGAGGCGGCGGCCACGACAGCTCGACGTTGCAAGCGATCTCCCCCGCCCAGCGCTAAGCAGGGCTGGACTGAGGTTACCAGACAAACATCGCAGAACCCTGTACTTACACGACCGAAAACTTACCAAGCAGAAGGATCCGAAAAAGGGCAACTGGGTTGTGAACCCCTAGCAGACCAGGGTCGGCCTACGTGGCTAAAGTGCCCATGTAGCGTACTCGGTGTGATTATTTTTCTAGGCGAGTGCCAGGCTAAAACACAAACACCACAATTATTCTTATTTCGGTATTTTTACTAGCACAGCAGTCCCCAATAATCACACCGGTAATTTGTATATTAATTGAGTAGTACAAGCCTATCGACTGACGAATCGACCAATCAACCACGCCGCAATTGTATTCAACGGAAGAATGGGTCAGAACTCTTTCGTGGTTGTATTGACTTTCGGATACTACGTCTTTGTTGAATTGGTATGTTGAAGTTTGCTCAGTTTTGGAGCGACTATTCTCATTCAACCCGTTATACCTCTGCTACCTTCGAATATCAACTATATCGCTGCTCAAGATATCCCGCAAGTGCAGTTTTAGGTGTTGAAAAAGGACCGCTGTTCCTGAGTCTCCATACCCACTACAGCGAGTTGAACTCTGTAAACATCACCAAGCCCTCATGGATCCGTATCAATTACTGTCATGGAAAGTTGCTGCCGCGACGCTTGCTGTCTATTGTGGCAGCGTAGCTTTCTATCGCCTCTTCTTTCACCCTCTATCAAAATTCCCCGGTACCAAATTGGCCGCCATCACTCGCTGGTATGAAGCCTACTACGACCTGATCCTCGAAGGACAATATACTTTCAAAATCGCGGAGATGCACAAAACGTATGGTAAGCATTCAACCGCTTGCTCTTCTTAACTTCATGACTTTTGTTTGGAATTCCCTTCTAATCTGCTTCTTATTTGTTTCCAGGACCTATCGTTCGTATCAGCCCGTATGAACTTCACGTTCTCGATCATGCCTTCTATGAGAAGCTTTATGGCCTGCACGACGGCCGAAATAAATATGAATGGGCGTGTAAAGGATTCATTGCTCCTGGTGCTACAATCTGGTTCGTCTCCCATAGTCTGAATATGACTCTCCTTCTTAATTCCTTACTTGTAAATAAACCAGTTCCGATGTTAACAAGCTGATAGCACCTCTGTGGATGCACTCCATCAAGCTCGCCGATCACCGCTCAATCACTTCTTCAGCAAGACCAAAGTGGCGGCTCGACAAGACGTTGTGATCCGTAATGTCGAAAAGCTCTGTACCGCACTTATGCATCGCGCTGGGAGTACCATCAATTTGGGAGCTGCTGCAGGTGCCCTTGTGCAGGACGTACAATGTGATTTCATTCTCAATAAAGCGTATGGAAGTCTAGAAAAAGACGATTTCAACGTTGCGGTAGCGGATATGTGCCAGAGCGTGGGTTTCCTTCGGCGATTCTCGAAACATTTTCCCCGGTTGGGGTCAGCGTTGAAGGCGATTCCTCTGAATACGGTATCGAAAGTGGCCAATGATGACGCTAGGGTCTTCTTCCAGTTTCTACAGGTAAGAGGGCTCCTTTTTCCTCTTATCAGGATAGTTGAATGGCTGACACAGTTACAGGAAATTGACAAAGACACCGAAAGACTTCTCAATGCAGCCTCCTCCTCCTCCTGCTGCTCCACCGAAGAAGACACACCCCGTACCGTCGTCCACGAGATCGCCGACTCGGATCTCGCTCCTGCCGACAAGTCTTTGCCACGCGTTCTCAATGAAGTCCAGACCATCGTAGGTGCTGGTTTGGAGACGGTTTCCGGCGTACTGAGATTGATGCTATATCACGTTTTCAGCAACGCCGAGATCCTGCAACGTCTGCGTGCTGAGCTCCAAACAGTCAATAACATATCATCTTCTGACGATCTCATGGACTTGAAAAAGCTAGAGCAGTTGCCGTACTTGACGTCCATTATTATGGAAGCCTTACGAATGAGTCCGGCGATCGGATCGCGCATGGCCCGCGTCGTTCCTGATGAAGACCTCGTCTACGGAGACTGGAACATTTCGGCCGGAACACCTGTCGGAATGACAACCATTCTGATGCATTTTGACGAAACGCTGTACCCGGATCCATACAGCTTTAATCCTGATCGTTGGATGGACGTTGAGAAGCGGAAGAAGTTTGCTAAGATCTATGCTCCGTTCTCGAGAGGATCGAGGATTTGCGCGAGCATGTAGTATGTTTATCTTTCTTTTATGTTCTGCGTTTTGACTTTGTGTTTCTGTCCTCCTTTACTAATGCTATGATCTAGTCTTGCATGGGCCGATTTGTACATCACTCTTGCCGCCCTTGCTCCTCGTTTCAACTTCAAATTCCAAGATATTCAGTCTTCGGACTTCCACATGGTGAGAGATGAGTTCATCATCGGGACAAAAGCTAAATCACTGCTTAAATGCCGTGTGAGCCTGTTTGAGACTTGATATGCGAGTTGAACATACTGCAACGACCAAAACGAGGATTCGGGAGAAGTTGAACCCTAGGGTATGGGATTAATTTGTCCAAGATTGATCTGAGTTGACTTATGGGAGCCAAGCACTTCACGTTACCCTGTAGAGTATCAAATAATGAACTTTCTATTGGAGATATCGGCTCATCTTCCATGTGCTAGCCAACTATAAAGCTTTCACGCTATTGTACAAGTGCAAGATCTTACCTTTCGCTGCATTAACATCAATTTCGTTCAATGATCGGCTCAACGTGTCTTACCACCATATATAAAGCATAAATCTAGAGCTAGTGGGCTACTTCTTGCAATACCTTCTATCTCAATTCAAGGATATACTTCCCTGACTTACGAAAGCACTTTCCACCTCACATTCAAATCCTTCACTCTAATACTCCTCACCCCAGCTTAACTATCAAGTAACACCGTCCCTCCCAATTAGTAGATGGGCTGGATTAAGACCCTCAGTATCGTCTTTGATCATGTATTACAAAATATCGCAAACATCACGTCATTGAATCTTTCCAATTTCAAGATATTCCTCTGAATTTGATTTCCACTCCTTCGGGACAGAGCAAGTCTTTCCACTTGCAAGCTTCAGCTCTGATCATATCTGGGTATTTCCAAGATGCTATGTGTGGCGCTGCTGCTTTTGCATGTCTTTATTACAAGATGATCAATAGGAGACTGGCAGGATTTGGGGAAGATGAGATATGTGAGGGGCATGGAACGATATCCGAAGTTTGGGTGGTTGTTGTGAGAAAAGACGAGGGGTTGGGTAGAGGATAGTTGAAGCGTTGATGGAATTAATGCTGTGCCGCTGCTCCGCTTCCGCCCTCTCTGATTCTTCACGCTCTATCCTCTGCCGCTGAGCCCGCTCTATTACTTCCATCTCCCCTTGAGATGCTCCAGTTCGTTGAGGCTGGCGTGGCGGGGGCGGGAAGAGATCGGGTCCACTATCTATGCTAAAATTCGTCGATTTACCGAAAAAGGCTAAGTATACAGATCGACGCATAAAAAATGATGTGATCTCTTTATTTTACTCCTCGCTTTTATAGTGTAAGTATGGTATAAAGAGGTGCTTACCATCCTATTATTAAGTATTTACGTTTAGAAATTCGCATTGGTTTCCGGCTGCCTTAAGATTATCGCAAACTAAAGCTGGGCTCGAATACTTAGGAAGAAGCGGTGTAATTGTTGTAAATAACCTCACGATTTGTGTTATATCAGTTTTTAAAACAGACTAGTTGTATTAATTGTTACGGATTACCTGGATCACCTGGCTAGAGATCACGTTACCACTTGGGTATGTGTTTTTAGCGCCAATACCCTCAAGTACCGTGACTATCCCTGGCGACGATCCGGGCTTAGAGCTTAAGCATGTTTCACTCTGGCGTATATAAGCTCTAGCTCTCCCACTCCCTTCTTTTTTCCTTACCTTTAGATCCTAAGAGATAGCCGAATCGATCCTTCGTTTACGTACTGAGCTTCCCACCGTGCTGTCACAGGCCCACGTGGTTTATTTATTTCAAAGATGCTGCAGTTGATCACAAGATGTACAAGTTGTGCAATTTTTCCATCGTATTCAGGGCTTGCTTTAGGATATTTGTTGTGGGCAAGCTCCGAATATTATCCAGATAAGTGGAACTGTACCCACACGCAGTGCCAAGATAGGAGCTAGCAATATGAAGTTCGAATCCACCACTCCTTATTCTTAATTGCTCCGAGGGACTGCAATTCAACAATCAAGACAAGATGTAAGAGTGATAGGTATAAGATGATGTCCATCCTTTCACTGAATATCCATCAACTCGGTGGCATTCTATCAGGAATTAGTCGCAGTTGCTATTTCACTTCTTGACATCATACTTTTGCTGGCTCGATCTTGCGTCCATTCTTTCACTATCCAATATGAAATCATTTATAATCTTCTGGGTAGCTTTGCTTACTAGTTCTTCCGCTGCTACTGTCGCCGTCAACGGCGCTGCAGAGGGTTTTGCAAAGGGTGTCACTGGAGGTGGTTCCGCCACGCCTGTGTATCCTGATACTATAGATGAGCTCGTGACTTATCTCGCAAGCGATGAAGCTCAAGTCATTGTCCTCACGAAGACGTAAGTCCACATGTAAAACAACATACAAGGTCTTCCTGAGCTGACTGCCTTCTCTCAAGCTTCGATTTCACCGGCTCTGAAGGCACGGTCACAAGCTCTGGCTGCAAGCCATGGGGAACGGGTTCGGCTTGTCAAATTGCAATTGATCAAGACGATTGGTGCGAGAACTATGAGCCCGATGCTCCAACCACCACTGTGACCTAGCAAGTCACCCTTTACTCATTGCATTGGGATTACTCTTCTGACAGTTTTGCAGTGATGCAGCCGGAGTGCTGGGTATGACTATTGCTTCCGATAAAACCCTCATCGGCCAAGGCTCCACTGGTGTCATCAAAGGAAAAGGTATCAGGATGGTCTCTGGTGTTAGTAACATTATCATTCAGTAAGAGAAATGTAATGCCTGGGACATCAACCCAAGTTGACACTATCCAGAAACGTTTTCATCACAGACATCAACCCACAATACGTTTGGGGAGGTGATGCCATCACCATCGATGACGCTGATATGATCTGGATTGATCACGTTACTGTACGTTCCCAAGATCTTCCAAACAACTCACCAACTAATCATATCTAATAGACATCTCTCATCGGCCGTCAACACATCGTCCTCGGTACCAGTGCCTCTAATCGTGTCACAATCTCCAACTGCGAAATCAACGGCGTCACTTTCTGGTCAGCAACTTGCGACGGCTACCACTATTGGGGCATATATCTCGACGGGTCAAACGATCTCGTCACCATGAAAGGAAACTACATTTACCACACCAGTGGACGTGCTCCCAAAGTCCAAGGAAACACTCTCCTCCACGCTGTCAACAACTACGTAAGTAAACCGCATTCTTTTCCGCTGCTCCCAAGTGTACTTGCCTTTTACTAACACCCATCCCCCAGTGGTACGACAACAGCAACCACGCCTTCGAAATCGGCGAAGGCGCCTACATCGTCGCCGAAGGCAACGTCTTCCAAAACATCGACGCCGTAGCCGAGACTCCGATCGACGGCCTCCTCTTCACCTCTCCCAGCACCACGGCCAACGAAGCCTGTCTCGCGTATCTGGGGCACGATTGTCAACTCAATGGTTTTGGGTCTTCTGGAACGTTTAGTCAGGCGGATACGAGCTTCTTTTCGGATTTTGAGGGGAAGAATGTGGCGAGTGCGGCGGCGTATACCACGGTTGTTAGTAGTGTGGGGAGTAATGCTGGGTATGGGAAGATTACTTATTAGGTGGGGAAGGCGTGGAGGTTGGGGAGGAGATGGGATAGAAGGGCCGGGGAGAAGGAGTGGGGTTTCGTTTCTGGGTGTATATACTTTTGATTGCCTTTAAAATTTGAAATATATTGATTCATGAAGTTCAAGCGTGGCCATTTTTTAATAGTTAAAAAGTGAACGCCACTCCATAGGATAAGTCGACATCTTAAGCCAACGCATTTGGATGCAACAGTCCCTGGGCTGTATTCCCATTCCTGCTGCCATAGAAGCCACTCACTTAAGAAAATACTTAGCATCGCTTTGCCAGGAGCTACACAGAGTGAACTCATCTCAGTCCTCTTGAAGAACAAATTCACAAGTCTCTCATTTCAGCGCTCCGCCTCTTGGTGAAGAACGAGTCCCACCCACACGTATTTGCATTCCGAACAAGCTTGGAAATCCCTGCTACACAAGTCATCACATGTGACAAGGTAATGAACGAAGAATCGAATGTTGATTTACCCAACCGGACTCCAGGTCAAATCGCTATGTACAGTACAAACCACCCTAGCTATATACACAACTTGCTTCTAGCACATCCATTGGTAGTGAGTATTGGCAACGAACTTATGTTGACGGACATTCATCACCAGCCGGCGAACACGAGGATGTCCCTCCCGTGATATCAATATCAGTCCAGGTGAAATCCGTACAGCTTGAAGTCGAGCCGCAAAGGATATAGTACTCATAGCCACCATCAGCCACGGAGCCAGTAATCGAATCAAACGTGACACCCGAGACCGTGATTCCGGTTGTAGAATCGCCTATTGGGTCACCGTTCTCGTAGTCTTGCTGGACATCAATGGCGTAGCTGTAAGATCACATAGTCAGCAAGGCTAGCGGTAGCGCAGAGGTACCGTGACTTACTCGGTAATGTTTGAGACGTAGATATTGCTGTAAGTAATATCGGAGACAGTCGAGTCATCGTCTCCAGCATCCGTCTTGATGCGGCAAGCGTTCTCGCCGTTCACGACACTCGAGTCCTTGAACGTGATATTGCTGACCGTTACCCCGCTGCTGATACTGCCAATCGATAGACCGTGGCTTCCATCGCAGCACATGTTTTCGAACAGCATATTAGATCCCGAGTTCACGGCCACGCAATCATCTTGATTGTAGACCGTGGCACCGGAGACGTACAATCCATCAGTACTGGAAACATCGAAAGCGTCCGTGTTGTGTCCAAGAGAGGCACCAGCACTGTTGTCCAAGATAAGTTGCGACATTGTCATATCGGTGCACCCAGTGATCTCAAACAAGTGTGTAGGCCAGTTGATGATCTTGATATCGGAAAAGCTGCTGCTTGTCATGTCACTAAGTTTGATGAAGTGGTCTGGCTTCGCCGTACCACCGTTGGATCCTTCTCCATCCCAGTAATCGGCGCCAAGACCATCTATGACTGCACCTGCAAGGCCAGCCACCTTGGCGTTGGTCCCTTTGAGAACAATAGGCGTGTAATCTGCATCAGGTGTGTACTCGACCGTCATAGTACCGGCGAAAAGGAGAGCACCGCTGGTGGGAACGGCAACAGACAAGGTTGTAGAGGCTGGGACAGTGATGCCGCTCAATAGAACATTGGAGCATGCTGAGACAGATGCGCTAATATCTGCAAAAGCAGTCACTGTGCAGGTAGTACCGCCAACACCAGCACCACCTGTCAGGGTACTGATGATGGTGCCTCCAACTCCCGCTGAAGCCGCTGCTGCATCGGCGGTAGTTGCAACTGCGACTGCGCTGGAGGTTACTTTAGCTACTGAAGTTGCTTTGATAGTTGAGGTAGCTAGCGTTGTAGGTATTATTGTCTTAGCTGTGGTCTTGGCCTCAGTCTGATGATATATGGTCAACAAATTGTTTAAGTAAGCAGAAATCGATGGTACTCACGGTAGAGGTAGTTGCGACTAGGGCAACAGCTGTCTCGGAAGTAACAAAGCAGGAGCACGCTTCCGAGATGCTCGTGGTCTTGCCAGAACAAGCGGAATTGATGTCAGAAGGAATAGCTGCAGTAGCAGTGATAGCGCTTGCGGTATATGTTGCGCAAAAGCTTGACACCAGTGCTGTGCTGGCGCTGAATATAGAGGCACAAGAATGAGTATCTGGATTCTCACAAGCAAGAACGATAGGGAGTAGCACCGCTACTAAGAAGGAAGTGAAAGAGCGCATAATGAATGTACACAGCAAGAAGAAGGTAAAACGAAAGTGGTGAGACGAGAAGGAAGGACAGAGCTGGATGTTAAACAAATATAGAAAAAAGAAACGAAATGTTGGATGCCACCACGAGGGACCACACGGAAGAATTTCCCCACTCACTGATCCGTCTTCGAAGGGTGATTTACAGGAAGCGGCAACATCGGACCATCTGAAAGGAGCGGATCAATGCCGAAGCAGGGTCTAGGCCAGGGAGATTTGCAAGCGAAAGCTTGAGCCATATGGGCCATGCGAAACGAGCCCCCAAAAGTTCCATTGCAATTTGGTCCCCTAATCTCCTGACCAATCTTCCAATTCAGCAGCTGGGGCCCCTCAAGTGGATTAGGTAGCCGTCTATCCGAGCTTCGCTGTTATGGCCGTCGCGGCGTATGTTGTCACAGCTATTTTTCGTGCAATTAGATTAGAGCCTGCAAAGTGAATCGTGATTTCACTTCTCGCTAGTTTGTTCCCTAGTATGAGACCTGGATAAGCTTTTGCCCAGCCTCCAACAAAAGACAAGAAAAAAAAAGAGGGATACGTAAGAAGTGCACGTGGAAAGTACTTTATCTGATTCACAGACAGGTGTGGATACTTCAGACCCCTCAGATCCTTTAGGAATCAGACCATGGGTATCTGCGCGAAATGGGACTAGTGCGAACCTCAAATAGGGATTCCTCAAGTTTCTGGAAAATAAGAAGGAAGCCTTTGAACATGTAGTTTCGAAGTCATCAATACTGTCATCTTCAACAACTTTGGAGAGCCTTTGGTGCAGCTTTCTCGCCCCCACCCCCCTCCTCCCAAGCGCTGCAAATCCAAAATTCTCTTTCTTTAGATGGTCCAAATGCAGCAATGGAGATCATCCCAACAGTTCAAGCTTGGGTGGAGATCTGGAGATCAAATTTGGAAGGGTGGAGCGATTACTCGTCATAGCTGAGGATATTTTGTTTCAAGTCCCTATTGGTGTATATTTGAAACACCAAGATTCGCCAGCACGCCCGAGCTTCACTTACCCCACTTTTTGGGGGCTGAAGATAAACCACCAATTGCAAGCAACTTTGGAACGGAGTGAAAAACTTGGAGATTCTTCAATTGAGAGATGAGTATGTTCGAGTTTATAGCTCCCTCTGTATGCAGCAATGGGCAACCGTTGCTTGCTCGTGCTAGCTCAGTCACGTGCTTATGGGATAATGGGCTGTCAGAATGTGAACCAGAGCTCGCAGAAGACATCACTTTCCGAGCTTCCAGATAAACGTCTTGTCAGTTTCCTGCTTTACTGTTTCTTGCCCCTTTTCGCATCATAAGCGAAGCGAGTGACTCGCTTAGACTTCTGTTCTCTCCATCTAGTCCGTGCAATTCTACCTCTACTGAACTGTATGAGTTTCTGTCTATATTGAACTATCATCTTGTACCACCTTCATACAAAGCTCCAGAAGCTTTCCATCTCGTATCGAGCTCGTACAAGTAATCGCCTCGGGAACTCCCCGTACTAGGAAGGTGGGGCTATGCGGGGTTGTAGATCCCTTGGTCGCGTTCGCGTTCATTCGCTGTAGTCAGCACTAACTAATATACCTACAACCTCACGTCTCTTTCACATGAAAGACACCGAACCCTTTTCAGCTGTCATTCAGGGCGCGTATTTTGGGATCATGCTCTGTTCATTTCTCATCTGACCTTTTCTTTTCTTCTATTATTAATATTCACGTTCTGATTCTCGTTTTCTGTCACTACTGCAAATCATTCTTCGCAATCAAAGAAGAGAGCGAGTCGAAATGTCGGAAGCGATTCCCATCATCTTGTGCGGTAAATCGCCTCAGATCGCAACGGGAGTTAAGAATAGTCTCATGCCCGAATATGATGGTCAACGCCCTCTCTCCCAACCTCATTTATCCAACTCACGTTTTACAGTCATCCACATAATCCTCACTCCCTCCGCCGGCATCACAGAAATCCCCTCTATCCTCTCTGGCTCGGACCTCGACTCAAACGACAACATCGGATCTCAGAACTACTCCAAACCGGCCCAAGCCGTAGTTACGGGCGCAGGATACGACGAGGAAGCGGTGGAGAAGATGAGGAAAGCTTGTTCGGCGAAAGGAGGAAGTCGGGTGCCGTGGTTGAGACCGGATACTAGTATTCCGACACCACCGCTAGGACCGAAGTATGGAGAGGCGATGGTGAGGAGAGTGAAGGGTTGTTTGAGAGAATTGGAGGAGGAGGGGAGGATGGAGGGTGATGGGGTTTATTTTTACTAGTGTGTTTTGCTTTGAATTGTGTGTTGGTGCTGGGTATTACTTTGGCATTGGTCGGGAAAGTCGCAAATTGGCTCACTGGACGACATGCTTGCTGTGTTTAATGATTCTCCTGCAACATTCCCCCTTTTCTAATGATATTGTTACGTGGCATTGTTCTGACCTGGACTTTTTCGCTCTTTATTTCCATTCTTACTCGAGAACTAGGACAAAGAGATCTAGTGAGCTGAGAGAAAATTATTTTTAGCAAGTCGCTTTGTGGTCCTATTTTGTAAGCTTATTTCTGGTGTACAAGTGTATTGTGCCCATATTGTGTGGGCTTTGTTATGTCCAAGTCAGAGGACGTGTCCGGAGGCACGTGCGGCAATGTATTGTATCAATGAAGTGCAAATTTTGATTGTCATGTCTAGAGTCACAATAGAGATTAACAAGGCTCTTGTTGAAACAAAGATATCTGACAAAGAGGATCCTTTATTCTTTATCTCTTCCCCTCTCAATGTACACTAGATATCTAGAACAATGGCATAGTTCGAGCATAAAATACCGCTAGCCATCCCATTCCCTCCCTTCTCATCATACCACATCAACACTTCAAAAACACAAACATAACAACCCTACACAAATTCCAAACTTTCAAACTTCCAAACCCAATTTTACTTTCTAAATCGTCAATATGGCCCCGCCAAGAAACTTCCCAAATCGCCCGGTCGTCGTTCATCCATGGACCAATCTCCGCTGCCCGCACTGTAGATCTGAGGATCCTACATACTGCGAAACAGTGGGTGACCTGGGGCTTCACATGTTGCAATACCATGCTGATGTCTAGGCGCTGATAGAGAGTGCGAGAGATAAAAGGCGAGTGAGTTAGTATGAAAAGCAATAAAATGTACAGTCTTCCAATATAAAACGCAACCGTTTGATGATTGATATATGCAAGTGAGTTCAAAGTGAAATCCAAAGAGGAGAGGACAACTAGTGTCTTCATTCATGTCGAAACTTTCGTGAAATAAGTCGCATTTTAATTCCAGCGTTGTCTGACAAAAAGAGCTGCCTGCCCATTGGAAGCTCAATCTCGCTTCATTGACTATGTAGTTCTTGACTCTTCTACTCTGATGTAGAGCTCGCTATTAAGAAACTTGAACTAAGGTATTGCTAATACTTTATATGTATCCAAGTGTAAGTGACGAAGGAAGTAAAGTTCCGGTTGGTGGGACTTGAAGTCCAGAGCGGGGTAGATACGCACTAGCCGAGACAACACTAGTGGAAGCTCCATCTCTGCAGTTCTATTTCTGCAGTGATGATACTTCTTAACCTCCATTAACGCATCTACAATGCAATTGCACTCCTTGCTTGATCCTTTTACTTAATTAACCTGTTAGCAAGTTTCTGTGAATACCGGTCTCCTATTCTTTTTCGCACACGCTCATCAACTACAACTACTTACCTACTCGTCCTTCGTACATTGCGGAGTAGCCTCCTTTTGGATTGAAGTGCGGGGTCAAAAGCTTGATTCGGACCGCGAATTTCAAGATTCCCGTTGCTGATTGGGTTGATATGTTTATTCATCTTCGATCGCGTTCATTTCCCCCTGACGATCTCCTCTCCACCTTAATAGTGCTGTATCTTTCTTCACGTTATTATTTCCTTCGCGCATGTTTCCTCCCGTAATGGCGGCCGCTGCTAAAGCTGTCACCAGTGCAACATTAATGCATTCTGCACTGCAATGTAACATACCTTTGGTACGGAAGTTTATCCAAGCTAAGCGCTTTTATAAATCGCTTTCTCTATCTGCATTCTTTTGTTGTTTTTTGTAATTGGGACAAGTGTCGCGAAGGATGTATTGCCAAGTCTTCTCCGATAGTATTTGGGTCACTCTCCTGACAATCTATGCTTCCGCATCGGCCCAGGACCCACCAATATCAATACCAGCCGGCCAAAGTACAGCTCTCTACCCAGCATACACCTATGTCCCCTCCATCGACGCTGACTGGAAGCCACATCCCCACGGAATTCTCATCACGCGACCGAACATTACAATTAATCCGTTGTCTCCAAGGCCTCTGAAAATCCCACCGCTCCCACTACCAAGTCTACCACCATTCGGTCAGCCACCGAACCCGTCGACTTATTGGTACGAGCAAATAGAGCACAACGGCATCTCCCCCTTCATTCCCAATGGCTCATCTTGGCAAGTCTACCGCAACGTGAAAGACTACGGCGCAACCGGCAACGGCGAGACGGACGACACACCCGCCATCCAAACAGCCATTAATTATGGCGGACGAGGTCCCGGAGGGAACGGTCTCGGAACAACTGGCGCTCCAGCTGTCATTTACTTTCCTGAAGGAACGTATCTCATGAGCCAGAGCGTTCAATCATTCGTCGACACATTCTTCATCGGAAACCCCATCAAGCGGCCGACGTTGAAAGTTGCGTCAAACTTCACTGGTTCGACTTTGCTGTACATGAAAGATCCAGATCTGGATGCGACTATCAACTTTTACATTGGTGTCAAGAACTTCGTCCTAGACTCAACGGCGTATGATCCGGACACAGCCTTCACGATCATAGACTGGTCCGTGTCTCAAGCTACTCAACTAACCAATGTCTTGTTTCGAATGCCACAATCGTCTCAACACACTGGCGTGTCTACACCGGAAGGCGGTTCGGGTACATATATGGGGAATCTTGACTTCGAGGGTGGGCTCTACGGCATCAACATGAATAATCAACAGTACAGCATCAAATCGTGTACTTTCAGCAACACGCAAACTGGGATCCTTATCAGTCATGGTTTCGACATGGTATTTCAAAATCCGAAGTTTTCGAACTGTGAAGTCGGCGTGAATGCTACCTCTGGTGGCGTGGGAAATGTAGGTAGCGTGGCGTTGATCGATTCCACAGCGAAGGATGTCGCGATTGTGATTGCGACGAAGAGTCAGACAGTGGGAAATAGCACGACGGGAGATGATTCGATTGTTGTTGATAATTTGGCTACGAGCGGGGTGGGGAGTACTGTTGTTGCTGGGGGGAAGACAATCCTTACTGGAAGTGTTCCTAGAACGTGGATTTATGGGAATGCGTATTTGAAAGGAGGTCCGGTTATGGGAGTACATGATGCGGGTGTTACGTATCAGACTTTCAGATCTCCGCTCTTGCTAGATGGTGCGGATTTTTTCACTATGGCTCCTCCGACGTATCAAGAATACAGTGTGCATCAAGTGGTGAATATCAAGACAGTTGAAGGTTATCCTGTTTATGGAGACGGACAGACAGTAAGTTGTTCACTCTTCGATGATTTCGAATACTAATGGGAAATATAGGATGATATGTACAACATCAATGCAATACTAGCTCGCAACGCCGGTTGTGCAATCACCTTCTTCCCAGCAGGAACATATCTCGTATCAGACACAATCCACATCCCTCCCGGATCTCGACTCGTCGGAGAAGCTCTATCAGCAATCAGCGCCATTGGCACCAAATTCTCCAACACCGACGCACCAAACGTCATGGTACAAATCGGACTCCCAGGCCAAATTGGAGTAGCCCAGATCTCAGACATGCTATTCACAGTCGCCGACGTCCTTCCAGGATGTATCCTTCTCCAGATCAACATGGCAGGCCTTTCTCAAGGCGACGTCGGACTCTGGAACAGCCACTTCCGCGTCGGAGGAGCAGCTGGCTCAGCAGTCGAGACGAAATGTCAAGATTTTATGCCTTGTAAAGCCGCCTTTCTGCTCTTACACCTGACTCCAACCACTTCCGTCTATATCGAAGATATGTGGGGATGGACCGCAGACCATGATCTCGACGGCGACTATACCCAACAGATATCCACCGGCAGAGGAGCACTCATCGAGTCAACGCGCGGAACCTGGCTTGTCGGCACAGCATTCGAGCACAACACGCTGTATCAGTACAACCTCGTCTCAGCAGCGAATCTTTTCATCGGTATGCAGCAATCCGAGACTCCTTACTGGCAAGGCACCGGCGGCCCAGCCCAAGCACCCGCTCCCTGGACGCCCAATGCAGCATTCTCAGATCCCACATTCGCAAACTGCGCCACCGACGGCCCAAACTGTCGTATGGCCTGGTTTCAACGAATCGTCTCAGGCTCGAATCTTTATATCTTCGGTTCGGGGTTCTGGACGTTCTTCAACAATCTTGGCGCGTGCATGGGGATCAATGGAACGTGTCAGGATAATGCGTGTGAGATTGTGGGGAATCCGACGGAGCTGAATTGGTGGAATTTGAATACGAGAGGGAATTTAAATCTTTTGATTGATGATGGTGTGGTGCTGGAGACGCAGAATAATAATCCTGGGTCGTGGGGAGCGGTTGTTGCTGCTACTTTGACGCATTCTGGGATCTTGGGAAGGTTGGCGAGGAGGCTTAGAAGAGGAATTCTGTCATGATTGCTGTTTTGGTGGCTATAGAGGAGGACTGGTTGACTGATACATGACGCTTTTGAGAATACACTCCTTTGGTAGACGGTATTCCAGAAGACGGCTTTAGAAGATAGCGATTGTTGACAAAAGTTTTTCGGTGATAAATTTACCTATTCCAGGTTTTCTTGTCTCTCGGTAAGCAGCGATATTACCCCGCATTTCCCCTGAAAGAAGCGAGTGACATCCACCGTAGATCTGAGGATCCCGCAGATTGTGCAACAGTAGGTAGGTGAGCTTACAATTCACAATTCCATGTTGATGTCTAAATCGAAGAGGTCGAGCGAGGAACGAAAGTTGATTTAGTATGAGCAGTGAAAAAACCTAGAATCTTCTCTTATTCAAAAGGTTAACTGGTATCCAGCGGTGAGCCTGAACTAAACATGTGACTGACCTCTTGATGTGTGGTTGCATTCTGTAGAGATGTAAAATCCGACTTAAAGTTCTCTTATTTAGCGATCATCTCTATAACTCAGCGCAGAATGACCCTTTCTTTCAAGCTTCAACCCCGGGAATGTGTTTCGCTTAGGGTGAAGACCTAACGAACATGGGGACAAAAGTCCGTGCGTTCAGGCTGTAGAACCTCGAAATTAAAACTCTTCACATTAGGACTAAACTATCAACAACTCCACCATTATGGATCCTTTTACCACTCCACCTATGTCTCCACGTCTCCCAGGTGCAGAGATCAGAACCAAGCACAAAGAGGGCATACGCCGGCTCTTCAAATTCGCTAAAATAGGCCTGCAATAGCTCCAGGGCTACTACCACCTAGGAGACAGCACAGTTAGGAAGATCCTACTATACGAT